GCCAGGCCTGTAGCCAGCTATGAGGTCACTGAGGTCTTGACCTCACTACATTTTTTTTTTTACTTCTCAGTCTGACATTTTATATTATGTGTGTGTGTGTGTGTGTGTGTGTGTGTAAATGGGAAGAACAGTCAGCAAATATGAACAAATTCTCTGCATGCTCGCATCGATCCGCCAAATAAGATTCATTCCATCCTATAAAATACAGCGGGGTGTAAACTGGGCCTTGTGCTGTTTTATTCTGCTGTCTGACAAGCCAAGAACAGGCTATAAAATCCAGCATATGTTGGACATACAGGATCCCAAAAAACGAGCTCACGGTTTTAAGATCGCACTCCCAAAACCACAACAATACATTCAGGACAAGGTGGTAGAACCATCCATCCATCCATCCATCCATCCATCCATCCATCCATCCATCCATCCATTATCTATACACCACTTAATCCTCACTGGGGTCGCGGGGGGGCTGGAGCCTATAAAACGGAATCAGCCCTGAGCCAGCTTCGAACTCACGACCTCCACATTGGGACTGTTGCCCGATACGGGGAGTGCCAGCTCAACCTAGTGAGCTATTGCGGCACCTTTTCATTTCCCAGCCGACTTAGGGCGAAGGCAGGGCACACCCTGAACAGGTCACTAGCCTACCACAGGGAAGGTGGTGGAACCACAATAACAAAATTCTACCAGCAGTGAGTAACGTTTTCTTGTCTACTGCAACTCTGCTTCTCATGATTTTACCACACAGCTCTCGCAAGTCTCACTTTTGACAGCTTTGAAAATTAATGTTACCTGTGCAATGTGGTCCAGTAGAGTTACAACCACATATCGTGCTGTGTCAACTAACTCACGGTACCCTGCTCAAGGTTAGCCACCTGACTCACTAACATCGATCCTCGGGCTGCTGCCTTTTTAACCCTTCCATGTCTGTAACACAATCCCAAACAAAAGAAAGAACTATCACACTTACTTTACAGGTATGTAAGAAAAAGGAAATGTTTCTTTTGCCTACAGATTGAGATTTTAAAATGCCCCAGAGGCATACAGAAGCACAAAACACATCATTTTAAATACTCTGGCTACCTGTTAGTTTTCATATTGATTTTAAAGTTTTTTTTTGTTTTTTATAATCAGTTTATAAGGCATCATTATAAAGGGCTTACACTTTTAGCTGTTCCATAAAGCAGAACAAAAACATCTATTGATGCAGCTTGCAGCCAATACGCTCCGAGCCACTGGAACACGATGTGAGAGGAGCTAAAAATGTTTTAACGTAGCATAAACTGAAAAATCCATCTATTCAGTTTGACTTTTATGTGGTGTTTTATAATTTGGCAGTTTTAGTATAGTTTTGAATCATTATTTATTTTTAGTATATTTTATTTTCAGTTTTGTTGCATGTTTTGTCAGCACTTTGAAATCCATTTCACTTGTTTGAAAAGTGCTATACAAATAAAGTTAGACTGGTTGATTGATTGGCAAATACAAAACTCATGAATCCACAAAATGTCAAAAGTAAATAACAAATAAAATAATTGATCTAATGGTGGTGCATGTGATTTAGCCTAAATGTGAGTAGGGATGTATGTAAATGTGCATGAACATGTGTGCAGGTATGCGGAGATCAAATCATGTGTTTTTATTTACATTGTCATTGGACATCCTCATTGATCATGTGTGTCCATGTGAGCTCTGACAAACGTCCATCTGTCGTCTAATTCTGGGTTCAGACTCAAGATGTTAGCACAAAATTAGTCCCACCTGTAGGCCACAGAGTGTAGAGACTGACAATGACCGATTAGCATGTCTCTGCTGTGATTTGACAACTTCCACACCATGTCCATGACTTTGACCAACAGGAACCCAAAGAAGTTCTCTGTACACAACTTAGTAAAGTGGAATTTAGGCTGAAGGATAAATGGTTCAAACTGTTCTCTTGGTGCAAATAATGAACAGGTTTCTTGTTTATCCTTTTCTTTTTAGAGCTTTTTCAAACACAAGAGAGCCAGTAACTGGTAGTTTGTCCCTGGTATCTCCTTCAGGATAAAATGAAGACATAAACCTCAATTTGTTTGTTTACAGCAAAACTCCACAGTGCACCATTCATATGCAACTTCTAAGCACGAAGTGTAAGCTTCAGTTGTTTTGTTTGTTTGTTTGTTTTTTTTAAATTCAGTCTCCTTTGAGTCATCTAACTATATAGAAATGCAGTTACTCCTGTCAGCTGCTATTATGCTTTAGTGGAGCATAAAGACTAAGTTTTGGTGAAATTAATGCAAACTATTCTGGGTTCGCCTGCCCTGCCCAGTTGGTGCCTCACATTAAATGCCACTCTTTGTTACAGTTTTGCCTCATAAGTGGTTTGTGTTACTAAGGGGAGGATGCTTTTCTTCTCTCTGCATCATCAGTTTGAGAAAAACAAGTTTTGTCACTTAGAGAGAAAAAAACGAGTTAAAAAATGTATCCATGGAGATGGCATGCAGACAAACACGCCTCCACCACTCAATTATTATTTGCTAAAGTTTGTGTGAGTTTTAATTACAGTAATAATTATGTTGGCAGTGATGAATTGGATCCTATTTTAACAGTGAAACATTGTGGCTTTGCTTGAAATTAAGTTGTGTAGTTAGTAGTGTTTATTCATTAGGTGTTCAGGAGCTCGTCCGAATATCAAGTAAATACATAGTACACATAAAGGGCTGCTGTTCGGGCTGCAGTATAATTGGTAATTCACACACCTAATTATTAAATGATCTGCCAGTCTGACTGGTGTGCAGTTGCTGTGACTAGTTCTGGAAAATGAAATATGAAAAATTCTAAGTGTCTCTTTCGCAAGGTAATGATGTGGTAACCTCAAATAATCCACACATGTCAACAGTTTGCATTAGAAATTGGTATTTAAAGAAAAAGATGAAGAATCTCATTTACTTTCTTCATACCTAGAAGGAGAGCAGCAGTCTCAGCAGCAGACTTTGCAACATTTCTGCAATGACATCCAAGCTATTCTACCTGGTCCACAGTGGATACAGTCCAGCATAGGCAGCAACAGATTGGGGCTGGGGTTGTGTCCTTATACCTATACTACCATACTACACAGCATAAAGGAAAAGGTTTTGTGTCCCAATACATAGTGTGTCAACTGTAGTGTGCCAAAACTAGCAGGATGTCCTACTACATGCAGTCGGATGTAAGCCGGCGGCTTTGCTGGCCAGTCTGACCCACAATCCTCTGTACAGTTACGACACAGTCGTCACAATGTCTCGTGATAATATAGATGAGCTTGAGCTGCAGAGAACACTAAAACAAATGACAGCTCATTTCATACGCTATTCTGTGATGGTCAAAGTTTAAGGTGCAATATTTTGACTGCAGAGGACTTTGTAGTTGCAATACCAAGACTGGCCACTGGAAAAAACTGGCAGCAAGCTGAGTCATACCCAAATGGTCAGTGGTCACGTTGCCTCAGGGATCATTTTGGCACCAGATTGTGCAATGGGAAAATGGCTACAATTTTGAAAATAAATCACTTAAAAAAGCTGTATCCATCTTTAAAACTGTCCATCAGGAGTCAGGTGAGACAGCGTTGTCAGAATGTCATGCTGTTTTCAATGTTTGTCCAAAGGTGTTTTTGTTGTTGTTGTTGTTTTTTTTTGTATTTTTAAAAAAAACGATATATAAGAAAAAACCACTGAGATCTACTAAACATTACAAAAACTGGAAAAAAAAAAGGGAAAGACAAGTAAATGTTTAACCCTACATCTTACATTTCGCCATGTCCCAATATTTAATCCATAGGAGGGACTGACTTTTTGACAACAAATTATCTATATGATATACAATCAACAAAACAAACTTGGCTTTCTTCTACGCACATTTTTTTTTGTCTTTTTAGACTGTAGAACTGAGTGTGACTCTTTATCATTTATGTTTAATTTATTCCCTCCAAACTGCACACTTCCCATCCGGGGCCACACTAGCATGGCCTTGCTTTCCACTGCATCAAACACTTTGTTGTTGTTATTTTTTACTTATTATGATTAAAGTTCTGCATGATTATTCATTCCCCTCCAGAACATATATATTTCTCACATTCATATTTTTAGGTTTAAGTTGGGTTTTTTTCTCCCCCCACTGATAGTGCTAATCACACTTATTAATATTTAGAAGGAAAGAAGCGTTTTGGTAATAACCGTGACAGGAGCACATTATGGTTCGGGGCTGCGGCACATCAAAGGCCCCGTTTGAAAGAGCTGTTTATGTATTTGTTGTTTTGAACAGGAGACCACTTTTTTGTTTGACCTTGTTTCTGTGTGAATTCAACACATTAACTCTGCTTTGTGTTTGAGCTCACAGGTGAAAAAAGAAAAAAAAAATAAAATAAAATTTCACATGACCTTGCACATTGGGAAGCGTAGATAACAGGGAGAACTCCACATAACAGCCCAGTGTTTGAGCATTTTGTTGTCTGCGCAGTTTATCAATGCTTTTACACATTTTAGAGCGTGCCGGCATGCACTACTATTGCGGTGACACTGGTGTATGTGTGTGGGCGTACTTTTTTTAACTTGTGTTTTCTCTCTCACTCTCACTCTCCTAACATGTATTTTTATCAAAATGTTTTTTTTTTTTCCATTTTACTTTCCATTATGGTTTGATTGTGTGTGTGTGTGTGTGTGTGTGTGTGTGTGTGCGTGTGTGTGTGTGTGTGTGTTTTAATGTTATACCACAAAATTCTCCATCTTTTCACTGCAGAGATGAAGCAGATCGATTCTTTTAACGTTCTTTAAAAGCAATAACGACTTTAGGACCTTAAATAAACACAATTATTTCTTCTCCTAGGATGCAAAGTGAAGCATCAGCTACAGTATTTGCCTGATGTTCAGGCTCAGCTGCTATTCAAAGAACTAAATGTTTGAAATGGTTTTGGCTAAAGAAACACTCTTTCTGTTTGTCTCCCCCCTTTTTTTCTCACCCACCTTCCCCTTCCCCCGGCTGTACAGAGTGCAAGTTCCACTGCACCAATGGGAATTGCTTGCGTCTGGGCTCGCTGATCTGCAACCAGCTGAATAACTGTGGGGACAACAGCGATGAGGAGAACTGCCCCGTGGTCACCCAGCACCCTCCGCCGGGCATCTTTAACTGTGAGTGCTGCAGGATGCTGCTACACCTCTGAGCCTCGCACAGCCAGACGACACAACCTGCTTCTCTTCCCTCCCTCATCCTCCTCGCTCTAATGTCTCTCCTGTCTGCTGTTTCTATTCTCTTTCTCCTGGGGGCTCTTCTCCTTCCCCAGCGAGCCAGTCTGATGTAGAGATGGGTGGGACACACTTCCCATGTACAAGACATATACATATACATATGTTGATGTATCAGCATGGAGTAAATACACCATAAAGATCCCTTAATGCATTACTTTTTACATCCATCACACATCCATACACATCTTCCTCAAAAACTTTTCCCACCTTTCCATTTCCATGCATTTTTTTCTTTTTTAAATCTCCCTTTCATACCCTCACCACCAACACCAACCACCTCCTTTTACCTCCCGCTGAGCAGCAGTGTCCAGGGAACAAGATGAGAGTGTTCCCTCGACTCGGCACGATCCGTGGAAACACAGGGAGAGAGGAGGGGGGGAGACGCAGAGAGAGAGAGAGAGAGACGGAGAGAGGGTGAAGGACACCAATGGGCTCCGATGGCTGTCTGCCAGGCCACTTTGATGTGCTGCAGCATTCTCTTTCAACAACTTTTAGGAGGAGAGGGAAAACTTTTTACAGCAGCACTTTCATCCTTGGCTCTGTGTGTGTGTGTGTGTGTGTGTGTGTGTGTGTGTGTATGCATCTAGCAGGTTCCTTACCTTCCCCTCCCCTCCTCTTCTCATCCCACCCTCCCTCATTCACTCCCCCGCCACCCACCTCCCTCCCTCAAATGCGTTTCACCTCTCCAACCCCTCCAACCTTGTTGTTTTGTGAATTTATTTCACTTTTTTTTTCTTCCTCTTTTTCTGTCTACCTTCCTGCCGCTTCACAAAGCACTGGGAACAAACTTTTCTTTTCTTTTTTTCTTTTTTAAATTTTGGGGAGGCGATTTGGAAGGGCGGCGGGGGAGGGAGGGAGAGAGGGGGGCTCATTTCCAATGGATAGAATCCTGAGCCGGGTACTTAAAATATTTAGCTGTCTAGAGTGAATGTTAATGTAAGTGTCTGCGGCTGGCGTTATGGGAAAGCTGTACAATGATTGTAATTTTCTGAGCCAGTGCGCATTTTCTGGTGATGCCTGAGAGACACACGGAGGGAGAGAGGAATGGGTGGAGGGAGAGAAGAAGGGAGGACAGAAAAAGAAATGGAGAGACAGAGGAAGTGTGGATTGAAAGGAGTGCAGACAGCCTCAGAGGGGAGACGAGAGGGGTTGGAAGGGTGACAGAGGAGCAGACAGCGACATGGAGGTGGATAGACAGAAAGAGAGGAGGATGAGGAGGAGAAGGAGAGGAAGGAAAGGAAGAGGGACATAAAAATGTTTCTGTGGTAATGGAGTTTGCCATCTTGTTGCAGCCGCTGGCTGTTGCCGTGGCGGTGGCAGACAGATGGATCATGAATACTGTCTAGACACACTGCAGCCTGACGCCCCGCATCTCACTCCCTGCTCCTCCTCTCCTCTCCTCTCCTCTCCTCTCCTCTCTGAAGTTGGAGTTTAAAACAACAGTGAAAAACAGAAAATTAGCCTGAAAAACTTCTATTTTAGATGTAGCTTGTTTACATCTCGATATATGTTTCTAAATCTGATCTCATAAAAAATGGTCCTAAATAGTATCCAATGTTTTTCAGATGAGACACAGGTTTTAGTACTTCCTGTTTAGTACTTCCCTATATTAATGCAGTCATTATTACTTGTACTAAATAGGTTTGTGCGTTTCTTGCAAAGATTGGTAGAATCTCTGGAGTGAAAAAGGCCTGCATCATCTAAGTTATGTTTCATTTTAAATTTTCTTTTTAAACTAAGACTATGACTTTTAAAAGAAGAAATAACATCGTGCCTCTTACAGATTCAGTTTTAAAATCGATAAGCCATACAAAACAGCTGTGCTAAATTCAGTAAGTTAAGCGTCCTCAGGAGTTTTAGATTAGTTGGTCTGGTAAAACAAAAAATGTATAGTGGCTGATGTTAGACAATGATAGGAAATATAAAGCAAATACTACTAACAATAAACATTACTAAGCAGTTTGCATACTTTATGACTCTTGTCCATTGTTATAGATACTAATTGTCACATCATCCCTCTCTTGTCACAGTGGCCAATGTTCAGCAGGGACTTTAATGGAAATCATTGGATGCAGCCTATGACATAATAGTAGATGTGTCACCAAAAAATGTGATTTGACCTTCATCCCATCCCCAAAAACACTTATAACTACGCTGGAGCAGAACATGTTTACTTTATCTTACCTTGTAGCAGCCGCTACACAAGTCCATCCATTATCTATACACCGCTTAATCCTCACTAGGGTCATGGGGGGCTGGAGTCTATCCCAGCTGACTTAGGGTGAAGGTAGGGGACACCCTGGACAGGTCACCAGTCTATCGCAGGGCTACACTTAGAGACAGACAACCAAGCACACTCACATTCAATCTCCAGTTAACCTCAACATGTTTTTGGACCTTGTGGGAGGAAGCCGGAGAACCCCACTACACAAGTGTGGCGTGAAAGTGATTTTCTGTGGAGATGTTGCTGCAGAGTACAATGTGGCACAAAGAAACTACAGTGAAATAAAAAAGTTAGAACTGGGTGTTATTTGGAAACACATCTGCAGCCTCTGTGATATGAAGCCTCCATCCCATGCACCTCTTCAATCAGCTGGAGTCTGAGTGGACATGAATATACTTGCCGTGTTGCTCAATCTTCAGCTTTCTTTCTACTTTTTTGGCCTCTAAAGTCAATGTACATCGGAGAAAACTCAGTGTCTCCGCCAACATACCTGCAGGCTACAGTGCAAGCCTGTAAAGGCCCTGATAAACTCCTAAATGGATGCACACTCAGCTTTGCTTATAATATAATGATTTTACAGTGTTTGCATTAATGGACATGTTTATGCATGTGCAGTCAACTTGTACCCTTCATGCATGCAGTTAATGATATGGAGCTGCAGATATTCACTTGCAGACCTTTGTAGACATGGGCAGATGGCAAAACTGACTTTACATGGGTCCAAGTAGCTATGCAGATGAAGAAATTCTAGCTATACTAGCCAGCTTTTATAGCTATAAACAAACTTCCAGAAAATCTACAAAAGAGAATTCAGGCAAATGTGTGTCTTCATCCACTATTTTAATGTGAATATAAGGATCAAAATAAACAGCTGGCATTTCTCCAGTTGGGTGTCATTAAACTGATGCAGAAAAAGATGCACCAAAGCTGAGGTCGTAGGTTGCTTCACATACAGTATAATGATAATTTTTCATCAACATCAACATTTGGAAAACCACCACCTACTCATTGGTAGGCAACATTGTTCTGCCTGCTGTTGCTGCTGGATGATTTGCTCAACAAGTCCGTCGGTTTTAGAGCATCCAGATAGTAGTGAGCACAGTCTATCAAGTCTATTAAAACAACATTACTTCTCCAAATAGGATGGAAGTGACCTTTGAGAGAGTTGGCTGTCTAAAGCACCTTTTAGCCCACATGGAACCTTTATGGAGAATGTGTGTTTTAAAGAGTTTGTTGTTTACAGATCACAAGGTGAACGTTACATGCTGCCGTTTCACTTCAGCTCAGCTTGTCTTGGCTTTTTTTTACCTTGTTAAGCTCTGCTGAAGTAGAAGGAGGGGACAGGGAATGAGACCAGAGAATGGTTTGGATCGATGGTCAACTCTAGCTTAGTCATTGATCCCAGTCCAGTGTGAACGGCACTTCAACAGCATCTAGCAAGCCTTCAGGCTGGCTGATTGATTCCGTTTGTGTTGGAGATTCATAACTGTGAAGCTTCATTATTGACTACTCCTCCATTCCAGACTGTCTGAGTGCCGTAGACGGGGCTGTTGTGTATCAATGATAGCTTCAACACTTTTTTTTCTGATGCGATAAAGTTTTTTTTTTTTTTTCATTTCTGAAAAAGAGTCTAAATCTAAGGTCAGTGCTGCGTTGAAAATAAAGTACCTAACTTTATAGTGATTTGAGTTTCTGTTAGGATTTGTATTTATTCATCTGCATGTGAATCCGGTCTATCAGCACCTGCTCATTTATGCAACAATCGTGGGAAGGTGTGTGGTTTTGTCTGATTTTGTCAGTTTTACAAAGACTGAAACGCACTTCTAGTCAGATTGTGTAACTTTTGAAAGACAAAATATATATATATATATATATTTTGTTAGATTTGCTCCTGCTTTGGCAAAAAAACAAGGTTGATAAGATCAAAGATTATGCGGCATTAAAACCAAAGCAATGAGCTCAAAGAGGCGCAGGTGCTGTGTGCAGTCAGGTGATGATCCCATCCCTTTGAGTGCCCCCTTCTAGTTTACACTTAGTCACTTGACTCGTTGTTGATATAGAGATATTGACTGGCGCAGCTTTAAAGTGAGCCGTTACTCTTTAATTGCCAGTTGTGGTTTCTGTTGAGCGGAAGTTGAAAAGGCTTGATTTAAATTAACAATAATTTTTCTTTTCAGATTTTCTTTTGTTATTTGAGACAAAAGACTGAAAAGCCTAAAGATTTAAAGAATAAAAAGGTAGACCAGGATGTCTTTTTTTCTCATTTCACTCTTTGGCTTGAAGGTTTTAATCCAATAAACTGCCCCTTAGTGATGCTGAATATTAGGAGAATGAATGCAATGTAGTTTAAGTGGCCCTACAGTAGTAGAGTTCTCTCAAAGCTCTGGTTAGTATGTCCTGTGTTTTCTTTGAGCAGTGAAGATGACTGATTCTTATCTTTTTGGCAAAGGGATTGGAAGAGGTCGAGACCCACATTTCTAACCTCAAACTGGACCAAAGTTGGTCTCTTGAAGATAATTTTCATCAAGTGGCGTGTGAAGATTTATTCAATTAAACTTCGATGAAAAGAACTGAAGTCAGTGTGGAAGCAGTTCCACCAAATCCTATTTTGAACTGTCTGGATTTCTCTCCTTTTCAGGTATCAACATTGAAGTTTCTGTTAAGTGCTTTTCATCGTTTGTCTTTGTGATATGGCTACCACATTGGATTAGTTTGTTTTATGTTTTTCAATAGCTGGAGTGATGTTATCCTTTATACAATGACATGTCCAGACACCCACGCTAATTTGGTGTTTCAACCTTGAGTGGATGCTGTGATTGAAGCTGAAACTA